ACTATGAAGTTCTTCAGATTCGACTTCACAATCATTTTCCTCTGATTCAAATAGTACAGCTTTCCTCTTTCTTGTACCTTGTACAATTTTAATGCCTCTAGCTTTGACATTTTTAATAACTTGTTGAACTGCCATAGGGTCGTTTTTTCTTTGATCTCAGCTCTTCCATGGTTTGTTTTTGTATAAGTTGTTTTGATTTTCCCAAAGACCCTACATTAACCCCAAATTCTTGAGTTAGCCCCATTGAAAAGGATGGTAAAATGTCAACAACATTGACATGCAAAGGACTACCTCTGGTAATCCTCAAAGATGTAGACGATTCGTTCATTGTTTGACGAATTTTAGATCTATCAAGAACAAAAAAACGATTATTTCATCAAAATATATGGAAAAAAAACAGAACACATATACAATTTTTAGATAAGTTAGAAAAAAAGATAAACAACTAAAATTAAGGATAACTTACGAAATTGACTTCAACTTAGGGAGGAGACTTCAACTTCAGGAGGGATTACTGAAATTTTGGACAAAAATTTGAAATTCAAATCTGATATTGGAGTATTAAATGTAGGAGAAGACGTTAGAATGAAGAAAGGAGAGAGAAAATTAATTGTGAATAGGAGAGAGAAAATTAGATTGTGTATAATTATATACAAAATTAGAAAATAAGGTTTTTACACAATTGGTTACATAATAGGTTGTGGGCCCCCATTAATTATAGCAAAATAAAATAAACTATAAATATATAATGTAAATAAATTAAACTATACCCCTAATATATAATTAGTTATGAATGTTTGCCATTTCATATAATTTTCCCATTTCAAGGGATTACTCATAAAAGAGTAAAAAAACAATCTCAATTTATTAGCCAAAACTTTAAATATAATTTTAAAATTTCTTAATAAAACATAATTAAACGCGCATTTATTTAATCGTGTTATCAATTTAGACTCAGGAGCTTGAAGTTCTTAAAATTTTTGGCATAATTCCCCGATTCTAACAATTTGAAAGTAAGCAAATTTTAGGTATTTTTGTTTAGCTTGACCATCTCAAATTTTAATATTTGTATATCTAAAGTTTGAACTATCAAATCTAACTTAAAGCTTATCGTCCAAGTATATGATTTACAAACCATAGAAACTAATTGCCTTCAACACTTTACAGATGGTGCTAAAATGAACAAACTTATAGATTTTCAGCAAACGTTCCAAAAAAAAATACTCACAATCTCATCCATCTAGTAGGCAAATGCATTCATGTAAAGCTTAACCATAGTCTTCAAACATGTTTTTCTTCATAAGGTAAAATCCAAAAAAAATAAAATTGATCACTATTTGAAAGCAGTAAGCAGCAACATAATTTTAACAAATGAATATGTTAAAATGTATACCGTGCCCCTTCATATGGTATGCAAATGCAACTTCATGATTTAAATATTCATACCAGACGTAATTACTTCTAAGAGAAGAAACCACACGGAAAATCTATGCAGTTAACCCGTAAGATGATGACAGAAAAAGAGTAGGCAGCAACATAATTTTAACACAAGTAACCACCACTATATCTCGAAAACGACATGAAATGATGAAGCTTCCAATTCTTCCCTCTGATCAAAAAAAGTATACTATCTTATAGGCCAGCTAACAACTGTTAAGAATAGGTAATAATTTTCTAAGCAGATCAAACTGGCATGGTTAACATCAGCAGCAGATCAAGACAGCCACACTTTTCATTCGACTTCTCGGACAATTCTTTTTGTTCGCAGTTGCTTATTTTTAATGCTTCCAGGGGCACTGTGAGCTTTCCTCCTCTCCTCTTTCCGCCTCGCAGATTCTGTCATCTCACGTATTTGTCTACTTGCCTTGTAGATTGGTTTTGGCAAGTGTCTATGTCTGTAAAATCACAATAAAGGAGAATTGAAGATTAAACTCCTTTGGGCTCACTGGGAATCTTTTGAGATATTCAACAGGAATGCAAAGTAACAAATATATGCACACAGAATTGACTATGGTAAAGGTTCAGTGTAACAAGCTTTTTGCAATGGATAGACATGGCATGATCTTACAGGCCAGTTAACAAGATGACCAATTATGATTTGGTACCAATGACCTAAGGCCCTAAGACAAGAATCTTAGACATAGATGTAATGTTACCTGTCAATGCGCCTGACTTCTTTAAGATGCTTGTAACGATTCTTGACAGCCTCCATATATTCATGTCTTTTCCGCTCTCTTGGCAAAACCTGCAAGAACATAATTTTCAGATTCAGATGGGTGTGAAGGAAAACAGACACAGAATTACAGAACAATCAAGGAAGCTAACATGAAATAGCTTTCTTTCCCATTTTCTTCCCAAACAACAGTACAACATTCGCCCTCCGGAAAAAGTTAGGAACAGATTATTTTGTTCACTATGGAAGGCTATAGTATTGTGATGCACATAAAGAAGCTTCAAAGTTAAGAAGGTGGAGACAAATGTTAGTTGTTCTAAATATCGTCATAAGCCAAACTTTCAAAAAAAAATTGGGATGATCAGAAAAAATACCTAAAGAACTCAATATAACAGCAACACAAATATCAAAGTCATTCTTGCAAGAAAAGTTCTAAGAAAATCATACTATTTTTTTCTTTTGCACAACAGTTCCTGCACAATCAAATGTTAATCATTCCATATGTTATATCTTTCTCCCCGTTCCTTTCCAAACATTATATTTATCTGACAGGGCCACAGGGGTTTACCCCTCTCTCTCTGTCACTTCTTTTCCTTTTTTAATACTCATCACACTCTTTAACTTGTGTAACAAATTTAATGAAAAACAAGAAAGCTTTTTCATGTTTGGAATCTCGTGCACAAGAGTTCTACTGAAGAAATGTAAATCTTTCCTTTATTTCCAGTACTAAAACCAGAAATCTCACCATGCTAAGCATCCCAAGAAACTAAAATGGATGGGGTATAAAAAACTTACAACCTCTTGACCGTCATCTTTTTATAATCTTAACGACGTGTTGAAACCAAATCCACAATTAAAGAGGAACAAGGGATCGATACATTAAGAAAAAATCAGAAAGATTCAAACCCGTAATGCATCTAAAAACAGAAAGGGAACATGTATACAAGTTCCCACTAAATAGATATAAACCAAAAGAATCAAGTAGTGAAGGTACATACAACTCCCATTTGCTCAGATGCTTTTGCTTTCCATAGACGTAGGTTGGTATCATCACTTCCTGAGATAATATAACTTGCATCGCAACTGAACTTGACACAGAATACCCTGAGTTGATGACAGATGTCAGGAAAACACATTCACTTGATAGTGCAAGTACTATAAGCAGTCAAGACGGTAAATTATTGTTGGGGATAACTAAAATAAACAGAAAAGATGCTTCTTCATCAAGATATGGAGTGAAACCTCTGCATCCTCTTAGTGTGATAAATTTCCCTGCTGTGACCACCATTATATTTGAAAATTCTCACCTAAAAAGGATGGTAATTCAGTCAAAGTGCTGAGACACTAGGTGAATAAATAAACATGACAGGAACTTACAGATCTATCATAAGATCCAGTAGCGAATTCTCGACCGGTTGGTGAATAATCTATATCCATCCTGCAAATAAACCCCTAATATTAGCAACAAACTCTGCTTGTCAAATACAACACATGAACTGCAGTAAATGAAAGAGTTGATGCCTTACACTGAAGAGGTATGATCTATATGCACACATTTGGCTTCATTTAACTTTCTAACAT